ATTAATTTTCTAGTGATGTACAGAATGAATTGAGGACATGGGTAGGAGAGTCAAGGCAAGCAGATCAGTGAAAAGAATATTGCAGTAACAAACATATAAGCTAAATAGAGATGGCCTAGAAAATGAAAAGGAATAAATAAATACAAGGGATGGTGTGAAGACAGACTCCTAAATGCTTAGCAAAGTAGGTAGGATGTGCAGTTTTTACTCTAAGAGGTGGCTGGTGGGGGCAAGGAAGAAGAGTAAGCATGTTTACCAAACTATCGACACCTACACCATGAATTAGTGTCATCAGAAATGCGTTGTTTCCCTCAACCTCTGTAAATATACCCTCTCAATATAATTTCCTACTTATTCCTCTTATAAAATCTCTTATTTTTAAACATTTACTTACTTAATTTTTGCCAGTCTCAGGGCTTGAGTTCAGGTTCTCACACCATTGGCTCAGCTTTCTTGCTCACAGCTGGTGATCAACCATTTGAACCATGCTCCTACTCCATTGTTTTTTTTTATAATTTTTATTGAAATTAAGTGATTACATAAATTCCACAAATTTCACAGTATTGGGAGATACTGATTCTTAGTCCAAGTCACAAACACATTTTAACATTCACAAGGCAAATTGTCATTATCCTGGTCTATAAAGTTTGTGAATTCTATGAGCCTTGACAATCCAACTATTTCTTCCACATGGGGTGATATGTACATTTCTTTCCTTTTGTTTGGTGTTAGCTGTTCCCTCCTTCCTTCTCATTCCCTCCCTCCCATCGCTCCCCTTGAGTTACTTAGTTCATTTTCATCAATGTCTAGTGTAGCTGCTGGGCCCCTCTGTTGTATGTTTTCCCCTGCTTCCCTCTGATTCTGTCCTCCTCCACTTAAAGGAAAAAAAAAAAAAAACTTTGGAAGAAGACAAAAAGGGGAAAAACAAGTCATTTAAGGATACAGGTGGACCCGTATCAACAATGAGAAGTACAAGTTGTCATGTCGAAAACGAACTTTACAACCTTGGTGGGGGGGGGGGGGGGGAGGACGGGGGGAGGGGGGCGAAGGGAGACTGGGAAGGGATGTGAAGGGGAAACAAAGGAGGAGGCTGCAATGCTTGATAAGAAATGTACTCATTACCTTGCCCATGTAATTGTAACCCCTCTGTACAGTATGTTCACAATAAAAAAAAAGAAATAAAAAAAGAAAATATATTTGTTATAAAAAAAAAGTTTGAAAAAATATGGTATACAATTTTGTATCCTTCTTCCCATCCATCCCTATTCCTTCTTCTAAATATAATTTTATTATTATGAAGGTGTTGTACAGAATTTTCATTTCATAAGACAGGCAATGAGTGCATATGGCCTTGGTAACATCCAAACCAGTAAAATGCTTCTTAGGCTAGTTTCCTCCGATCTTGAGTTTCATGAAACTCAAAAGGCAGCATATCCTTCCCCTATTGCTCTTGTCCGCATTACTGGCAATGTTGACGGCAGAACACTCCTAACACACTTCTACAAGCTCCCTACTATTTTTTACTGATTAAAATGTTGTAATAAGTCAGGAATTAATAGATACTGAGAATTCCTTACAGCTGACAAAAAACAGATACCAGAATAGATGGACCAAGAAAAAAACTTTCACCATTTTCAAATTAAATTACAGGGATTTTGGACCCCACTGGAAAACCTAGGCAACAGACAGGTAAATGGAGAAAAGCACTTCAGGCAAGCGCAAGGAATATGCCTTGTGTCTGACCCTGTGTGCCAGGAACAATTATGGGCCAGTTTGCCTGATAGGAATATAAGAGAAGGATACTCATGTTACTTGAGTTTGTCTTGCCAGAGACAATTTCCCACATTTGCAAAACAAATGCAAGTAGAAATGCACACGTTCTGTTAAGAGTAAGAAATGAATATTATGGTGTTGAAGAGGAAGACAACTCAGCACCAAAAGACACCAAGTTCCTGCACCCATGGACACATAGTTACTAAATTCTTATTAAATGCAAAGCTCTGTTGTACATTCGAAAAGATTATGAACAATGTTCATAGATTTCGTAAGTGTTTGTGGAATGTTTCCATAGGCCTAAGAACTCTGTCACAAACTGGGAATGGATGAAATAAAAGAAAACTTCCTGCCCTCAAGGAGAAGGGTGATGAACACCAGAGGCCCACACCCAAAACCATCTGCAAGCATGGAGGTCCTAAGGATTTTTCCAAGAAAGCCAGATCTATGAGTTTCCGGGCTGCTGGGAAAAACTTACCAAAAACTCAGTGACTTAAAGCAACAGAAATTTGCTTTGTCACAGTTCTGGACACCAGAAATCTACAATCAATGTGTCAGGATGGCCATGCTCTTCATTTTTATTTATTTATTTTTTTGTCGGTCGTGGGGCCCTGAACTCTGGGTCTGGGTGCTGTCCCTCAGCTCTTCAGCTCAAGGCTAGCGCTCTACCACTTGAGCCATAGTACCACTTTCGGCTTCTTCTGCTTATGTGGTGCTCATGCATACAAGGCAAGCACTCTACCACTGAGCCCCTTCCCAGCCCCAGGCCATGTTCTTCTTGAAGGCTGCAGGGAAATCTCTTTCCTTGCCTCTTGCAACCCCTGGGGCATCCCAGCTGCCCTTGGTTGTTCCTTGCTTGGTGGCTATATGACCACACTCTCTGCCCTGTCTCTGTCAGTGCAGGCTGCTAGAACAAAACTTGAGTAGGTGGCTTATAAACAATAGAAATGTATTGCTCTGTCTTCTGAAGGTGGGAAACCCCACACCATCACTGGCAGATTTGCTCTCCAGTGACAGCTTATATCTGGGGGCTCTGGTGAGCCCCTCCAGAGAGAGCAAAACATTGGACTGAGTCTTTCAAGCCTTAAGGTCTTATGTACTTTGCAAGGTGATGCTCTGAACCCATAGCTTCTTCCTTAACGCCTGTTTCCCTTGAAGAATGGGAATGTCCATTCTATTCTTTTCCCACCATTCTATTTTGAACACTCAAAACTCCCTTGGTTTCAAATTTTCATAGATAGAGATGGATTTTGCCATAGACTAACATGTACCTGATTTTGAATTTTAGATTCCTTTGGAATTGATGCTAAAATGAGTTAAGATATATGAATTCGGGCTGGGGATGGTGCTTGTATTTATAATTCCAGCTATCTTGGAGACAGAGATCAAGAAGACCCCAACTCAAGGTCAACTCAGGAAAAAAAAATTAGTGAGACCTCCAACTCAACAAATAAGTCAGACATAGTGGTACACAGATATAGTCCCAAATACATGAAGGCCATAAATAGATGAAACACAGTCCAGGACAGCTCTGTGCAAAGTGTAAGATCCTATTTTAAAATAACCTAAAAGTAAAAAGGAAGAGGGTATATCTCAAATGGTAGAGCATTGCCTAGCAAGCATTAAGCTCTGAGTTCAAACCCAAATACAACCCAAAACAGGAAGAAAAAAAAAATGTCTAGGGTTTCTGGTGTGTCAATGAAGACAGGAATCAGGATCAGGAGTAGAATGTTATGGAGTGAATGTGTTTGTCCATAATTCATGTGCTGAAACTCTTAATGCCAATTTTCTACACTTTTTTTTTACTATGGTAAACGAGCAGTACCCGCTCAGTAGAAATTGTACTTTGCATTTGGACTTTGTTTCCCAGGCTAATGATGTACAATGACACTCCACCAATGCTTAGCATTGAAAGTAAGCACCAGTTCCCAGCCAGCCTGGTGATGGTACAGGGAAATGTCCAGTGTGCTGTGTGGCTGAGCCAGGAAACCCAGTAAGTCACAGGTAGGAGGTGCATTTCTGACTCACAGGATTTTCAGTTTGCAAAGCTTATCTGAATGTAACGCCATATAAACCGAGAAGCACCTTCAAGAGCAATCTTACAGATTTCTTCCAAGTTTTCTCATAATTACAACAGAAGAAAGAATACTTAATATACTGTAACCACATAAGCTAAATAAGTAGCAACAAAAATAGTCATGTGTCCAGCAGCTTTATACACTGGACTTTAGTTTAGGAATATTACCTACGTTAGAAACGTTTCTATGCCAGGGACTGATGGCGCATGCCTGTACTCATAGTTGTTCAGGAGGCTGAGATCTGAGAATTAAAGTTCAATGCTAGCTCCACCCCCCCCCAAAAGTCATAAGACTCTTATCTCAAATTAACCAGCAAAAAAGCTGGAAGTAGAGATGTGGCTCAAGTGGAAGAGCACCAGCCTTAAAGATAAAAACTAAAAGACAACGCCCAGGCCTGAGTTCAAGTACTGGCACACACACAAAAAAGAAATACTATTATCAAAGTGATTTTCCAGGTGATTCTTTTCCAGCATTCTAATTTTACATGGAGTAAATGCAAACTGTGTAAACATTCAATATAATCATCATCATCCAAAGTTCCCACTTGTTACAATGAAGTTACTTTTTCTAATAATTTGGAGTTACAGAAAAAAGACATTTTATTTAGATATTATTTATTTTGATAAATACTATTATTAGATTTAAATAACATTGTTAGGTAGTACTATTTAGATAAATTTTATTTACATAGTATCTTTGTTTTCAGATACATTACATTAAACCCTCATTCCTTGTCAGCTGGTTAACTGTGGGTAAGAGCTTTAGTTTCTCTAAGTTCTCTTTGCTTCTCCTCTGTAACATAGAGACAACAATCATTACAATGAAGATAGCCACTTAGGATGAAATCAGCTAATACTACTGCCATTACTCAATACAGAAAGCAGCTATTATTGTCACTATGGCTGAAATTTCACAAACTCGCCATTTGCCCTATTAACTCATGATCTCTTTTTTCTTTTTTTATTATTAATTTACTTTATTGTTATAGAGATTACATACTGAGGGATTACAATTGTGTGAGTCAGGTAATGAGTATATTTCCTTTCTTACAGTGTCTTCTGTTTCCTTGCTCTCCGTCCTTCTCTCCCATCTCCACCTATATATATATATATATATATATATACACACATATATAAACTATATATACATATATAAAACTATATATATATATATATTTCACTTATAGTATAGTTTACTTTCATCAGTGTCCAGTGAGCTCTAATGTTGCACTTTTTTACCCTTTTTCCCTCTAGTTCTGTACCCTCTCCACAACCCTTCTGAAGATGTACACTTGAATACACCATACATAAGGTAAGAAGACAGAATCATCAACAACTAAAAAACTATATCTTGGAGCTCGTTTCAGAATGTGCATTATTTTATATAAATATGAAGAGCATTTAGGCATTGCACCTTTGTGCTTCTCTCCTAAGAGTACCCCTTTTGGTCTCACTGTGTGCGCATGTCTAGAATCCTGTCTCATTGATCATATCCCAGTGTCTTTTAGATCTGATTTCGGCATCGCAGACAGAACATGCCCCGTTTGTCTCACGACCTCTTTTTTAAACAGGTAAGTGTCAGAAGATGACCCTATAATGTCAATGCGTGTGCTGTATACATTAACCAGAACCTTCGGGTACTTTGAACATAGTAGTTTACATGCCTGTGTAAGATCGTTTCTCTCTCTCTTTGTCTTTCCTTCCAAAATAAAAGTCTCTTTTCGGAGCTCCAGGAGAAGGTCCTGGGTCAACTCCCGGATGAGCTGCCTCCCTCGCTGGGCGCTGCCTGGCTTGGACCCATCCTGGGCATCTCTTAGGTGAATGGTGGTGAGCTCACCACTCACCCTCTCCTGAATGTGAATACAAAATCTTCGCAGGGTGTTTTCATAAAGCTCACACTTCTGTTTGAGGTAAAGATAAACATCTGTGTCCAGCACGAGTGTTTCTCTGTTTCCTGCAGACATAGGAATGAGAGTCTTGAGTGTGGCCACCGAGTTGGCATTTTCCTCGGGATGCTTCTGGGGGCTCTGAGTATTCCACTGTCTCCCCGCCTTGGAGAAATTCCTACTTCTTTCTAAAAGAGAAAGGGCTTTTGCTAGCAGAGACTCATGGAGCTTCTTGAGCGCGAGAAGCGATCCTTCCACGTAGATCCTTCCACTGCGTTCCAAAGAACTGAAGCATAAAGTAGGGTTTTCCTTTTCCAGATCCATGACCAGCCTTTCTAGTACAAACTGATCCTGAAAAATGGAGAGATCCAGGAGAGCCTTTATAGAGCTGAAAATCTGTAATTAAAAAATGGGAAATATGAAAACAGCACACAACATAAACAAATGACTTTTCTCTCCTTCCTCCTGCCACCACAGCAGTTATTAGCCCAGAGCATCCCTTTAAAAGGAGGCCACACGGGTCATGGTCATTCATCCTATACCCCCAAATGAAGGTGGTCAAAGAATTTTGTGACAGAAAGTGCTGTTTTGAAACCAAGTCTTGCTCAGACTCCGTAGACATAAACTGCTCCAGGTCTGTAGAGACACAGGCTCTTTTGTACTCATCCCTGCCTGGCTGCTCCAATGTGAAGTTCAGAGTGCAGATGCCTGAGCTTCTTACTGAATACAATGGATATACCGATACTTGGCATTTTAACTTCTTTTCTCTTATTACTATCTTTACTGCCTATTCAAAGCTCCTTTTCAATGTCCATCCTAAATCTTTCTCCCAAAATAAGCCTTCAGAATGATGCATCATTCATTAGTGACAGCACAAAAGCTCACAGTCACCTTAAAAATATCAAACAGAATAGGGGAGGAGGGGGCTGGGAAGGTGGCTCAGTGGTAGAGCGCTTGCCTTGCATGCATGAGGCCCTGGGTTCAATTCCTCAGCGCCACATAAGCAGAAAAAAAAAAGCCAGAAGTGGCACTGTGGCTCAAGTGGTAGAGTGCTAGCCTTGAGCTGAAGAGCTGAGGGACAGCGCCCAGGTCCAGACTTCAGGACCCACAAGTGGACCACCCCCCCAAAAAAAAAGAATACAGGGGGAAAATTTTTTAATTCCAAAAGATAATTTGGCTTTTAACATTGCATCAGGTGAAGAGATTTGCTTTTTTCCCCCTAATGGTAAACTAGGGCATTCCTATAATCCCAGATATGTAGGAGGTAAAGATAGGAGGATTGTGGTCCAAGGTTGGTCCTAAGGGAAAGCACCGGACCCTATTTGAAAAATAAAAAGAAGCCGGGCGCTGGTGGCTCACGCCTGTAATCCTAGCTACTCAGGAGGCTGAGATCTGAGGATAGCGGTTCAAAGCCAGCCCGGGCAGGAGAGACCGTGAGACTCCTATCTCCAATAAACCACCAGAAAACCGGAAGTGGCGCTGTAGCTCAAGTGGTAGAGCGCTCACCTTGAGCTGAAGAGCTGAGGGACAGTGCCCAGGCCCAGAGTTCAAGCCCCACGACCGACAAAAAAAAAGAAAAAGAAAAAGAAAAAGAGCAGGCAGCATGGCTCAAGTGGTAGAATGCTTGCCAGGCAAGCACAAAAGGAAAAGGAAGGGAAAAGGAGGGGAAGGGAGGGGAGATTAGGGCAGGAAACCAAAGGGAAGGGAAGGGAAGGAAGCAATCATAGGTTAAGTGTTTTGTGTCTCTTATATGGGAAAGACTTCATCAAAGAAATGGGATTCAGGACTAACATCACTTTCCAGTCTCACCTTACCTTTTCACTTAGATGAAGGACTGTGATTTGAGCATATCCGGCCTTCCTACCTAGGCGCTGTTCCTTTTTTCTCACAACAGTCTCTGCAGCTAGGTAGAAACATTAGCATCAATAGTGTTTGTGGCACAGTATACTAATAGTTCAATGCTTATGTTAATAGGTCCTTAATCATATTTTTAAGAGCACATGCAGGTGTTTTCTAAACACACATGAATAGAAAACAAAAACCTGACAGTAAATCCCCCTCTCTGGAGACTTCACCTCTGCTAAGCAGAATTTCTCACTGTCCAGGTTTTCCTTTTCCTGGATGACTTGTTCAGTCTTCCTTGCTATTCCTCCATCTCTTCCTATTCTCTACATGCTGACAGGTCTCAAAACTCAGGTCCTAGACTTCTTTGCTAACCAATATCCATCTACTGGATGATCTCAGTTTCTGTGACCTTTAGACCTCACCACCACCACCACTACTACTACCGCTAGTGTTTTCCAGTCAGGCATGGTAATGCACACCAGTAATGCCAGCTACTTGGTTACCTGAGATCAGAGGATCTCAGACCAAAATAAAACAGCCCCATCCATTAATGTTGTCCCTCTATTATTCCTTATATATTTCTAAATAGCACTCCTATATTAAATGTAAAAATATACAAACAGAAATACATATCAGTGAAGATGGGTCTTTCCCTGGCAGTCTATTCCACAGCCACTAAGCTATAAGAAGGCTGGAGAAGGCATGTTGTTTATGTAGCTTATGATATCCTTTTATCATTTATGTGGGTCTTTGCTTCATTTTTTTCTGTTCTTTACAACTTTTTTACAATACCTATGTTCCAAGGTATATATGCAAAAATACATTTAAAACAGAGTTTTCAAAATTTGCCAGTCATTAACAACTTTATCACACCAGTAACTAATGCTTTATCGTTTTTGTACATTTGGACTAATCCAATACTGGTTGCTTCCATATTCATGAGAGAATAAAATTTTTAAGGCTACATTAAATTTTACCAATCCCATGGCTCATCGTAACAAAATGAACTTTTAATTTCATTGAAGAGACTATTTCTCAGACTCTAAAGTTTTTATTTGGAAATACCTTCTTTTTCTTTGAATATTACATATGCAACTCCTTTGGTTCTTGTTGGATAGATCACAGCTTCAACATCACCACCCTCGTTCTTAATATCTTGGAAGTGACTCTTCACAAATGTGGCCAACAATTGATTACTAACAAGGTTCTCAGGAAGACCAGCAACTACTATAGTTCTTTCAGAAGCTGTGAATTCCTTGATTCTCAAAGCTGATGCCTGTAAGAAAAGCAGTAATTTATTCTTCAAGAAAGATAATACTCTTTATTAAGCACTAGCTTCTTGCCTAGCTACTCAGGAGTCTGAAATCAGGAGGACTGAAGCTAGGTCAGCCTGAGGAGGGTGAGGAATGGGGAAGCCTTAACTGAAATAAAAAGTTGGCCATGGTGATACTAAAAAGTGCTGAGGACTGGCTCAAGTGGCTCAAGCACTTACATATATATATATATACATACATACATGCATGTATACATGTGGATATATATGTATGTATTGTGTGTATATATGTATATGTATATACATATGTGTGTATATGTGTATACACATATATCTCCTTGTATATGTATGTATATGTACATATATATGTTATGTATGTATATATACATATAGATATCCTCGGCAATAGCATAGAGACTACTTGCAGTGAAGTAAGTCCCACTTTGTGGCATGGTATCAGAAGTGAAACTCAACCACAAAGAGAACATGATACTGCCAATTCTGCCATCAGGCTAGGTGCAGATCACCAACTATGAAATCTTTTTCTGGATCCATCCTCTTTAAACTTTCTAGAATTATCCACTTAAAGGGCTTCTATTTAAACATTTCCACTTGCCTCCTGACCCATTTAAGGTAGTGGGCCTCTCCACTTTTCTAATGCTTATACAATTAGTCCAGCCTAATTGCATCAAAGTTCAGGCAGAAGCTGTCTTACTTACAGTGAGGAGTCTCCTGGGACCCAAGTTATGATTAACTGACCACAGAGGAGCTTTGGGCTGTCCATCCATCCAGAGGAAGAGGACTTTGAACTTAGAACAAGCCTCTACCTCCACCTCCACCTCCCAGAGAGTGACAAGATGATAGCTTAAGCACACATACAGAGTCCTATCCAACCCAAAGCCCCTTAAAATGAAAAGTTATATAAAGCCAGATAAGAAAATCAAACAGAATGGGAGATTTCCAGATTTCAATTTCTGGAAGACTGAAAATATTCAGCAGTGTATGGAAGGAAAAAAAAAAAAGAGAGAGAAACCATTAATCTAGAATAAAAAAAAGGGAGTTGCCAGAAAATGATGACCATCTCCAGACTGTTAGAAATGAAAAGACAGGAAATGGAGGAAGAGAGAGAAGGAACAGGAACAGAAGGAGGAGGAGGAAGAGAAAGAGGAGGAGGAACAGGACTTGAAAGACTGCCTACACCCCACATAAGCTTGAGCTCACATAAACATAGTACAGTGAAGGTTGATGACATAGAACTTCATGGAAAGATACTAAGGGTCATTTTACTTCTCTAGGGAAATTTTGATTTGAACACCTGAGCATCCCTGAGCAAATCCTCCACACTTTTCTGGTAGCCTAAGATCAGAAGCAAACTAAATTGTGGCATGATTTTGAGTAGATTATGGAATACAAAAGAAAAAGAAAAGTTCATTTGTCCCAGCTGCTGAACATATTTTCCTGTAAGTGGAAAAGTAAACTTACACCTGACATTGGACCAAAACAAGAAAAAGTAATTAGAGCACATAATTAGACACTGTTGTGCCTGGTATTTACTGTTTACATGAATATTATTGATTTTTGACTTTTGAGTTTTAAAGACTTGCTAAGTTTTTAAAATACCAAAGACTTAAATAATGCCTAGAGAATAAAATGGAAATAGTATTCAACTGCCAATGTAAGAATAAAGAAAAGCTAACAGAACTTGAGGGGGGAAAAAAAGATAAAAGGAAGAATAATTTCCTACAGAAAATCATGCAATATCCACACATGAAATTTTTATCAGTCACAAAAATAACTCAAAGAAAAATTTAAATTAATATTACAGTACTATTATCAAACTTGAAAAGCAAGGCAGTGAGAATGTCCCTGAATTTATCTTCCTTTATCATAGCAAAATTCAACAGGAAATGATGCAGCTCTCTTTTATCATCTCTCTGGTGATTCAGCTGATAGCTAATAAAAGAAAGTACTGAAAATGTACTTAACTGGTGAAATGGTATTTTTAAACTCATTACAATGTACACTAGAATTTCTTAGAACATATATCTTTAATTATTTAACCAAATAACAAATATTGCATTAATTAAGTATGTTTTTTATGCCTGGTAATATTCTGGGTACTACTGAAAAGAAAGTATACATCCCTTGTTCTGAAATCCAACTCTCCAGCAAAAATATATTCATTATGCATGGGACTCTCAAACAGGCTTCATAATGAGGGTTGGGGTCCTATCCATAGAAGTGAAAAGAGACAGGCTCATAAATAAATCATTTCAAAAGAGCCTGGCATTCATGAAAGAGGGAGGGCTACTGCCCTATTGGAGAAACAGGCCAACACATAATTTGAAAAAGACAAAGACCACAATAAAAGAAAAATCCTAAAACTATAATAAATGCCACTCCAGATTGTGAAGCAGGATTAACTGGCTTAAAGACTTGAAATGGAATTTGATAAGGCAGAGGTAGCAAGAAAAAAGAAGTTTGTAGCAAATACAAAATGGGGTGGGGGCATTAAAATATCTGGGTTCATACAGACATAAAACAAAGGCAATGTCTCTGTCAAAAAACAAACATACATACAAATTGGGTGGATATTTGCTACAGGAGACACTTTCAGTGGAGGAAAATAATTTTGTCTAGATTGCAGAGTGAAACAGTAAAACTACATAAGTCTTAAAAGCTCCCACCTTCCAGTTCCAAATAATACAATGTAATTTTCCCAAGTGAATTCTCCCATTCAAGGGGGGGAGGGGAGGAATGAGCAAAGCCATTTTTCTGATTCTCCAGGATCTTTATTTCATTAGATTTATCTTGATAAAGCTCTGACAGCCACACCAGCCTCAGTGAATAACTGGCTGATGAATGATCTTCCCTTTTGCTGTGAATCGCTGTCAAAGAAAAACTTGCAATCAATTTAAATCCAGAAAATCTTAGTCTACTTCTGTGTTACCATCAATATTAATATAGTTCTTAATTCACATGTCAATATGTAATTTATCACTGAAACCAAAGAGCCTGGGCTGCAAGTGTGCCCATGTTAGGGAGCACCTGCCAAGCAAGCATAAGGCCTTGAGTTCAAACCCTAGTTACACACACACACACACACACACACACACACACACACAGAGGCTTGCAAGAACTTACTAATTTTTATAGATTATCTGATTAGTTATTAATGGTATGCTGCTATTCATCCTTAACTTTCATATGTTTGAGATGTATGGCTAACACACATCATTTTACTGAAATCAATCTGTGAAAGTCGATTCTGAAACAAAAATAGGATTTTCAGCAAATTGACAGGAAGATGTATCAACTGTACATCCTAAGAGACTATTGACCATTTTGTCTGAAAGCAAATAAAGGTATGAAGCAAGAAAATTTTTATTCTCTAAAGCAAGACACTAAGGAGAAATTAATTCGAACCCACACTCTGTGCAGTTGTTAGTTGTTTTCCTAAAACCATACACTTACTCCCATTGACCATATCTTGCTTTACCCATTGGCACTGGCATTTCACCACTTGAGGATTTCAAACCACAGGTTGGGCGCGCGCGCGCGCGCGCGCGCGCGCGCACACACACACACACACACACACACACACACACACACACACACACGAGACTTAATCTTGAATTTGCTAACTGTTCTTCCTGACCAGCACAGATGGTGGAAACATAAGAAAGCCCTTTGTGTCGCTGCAGAAATAAAACTTAGACGACAGAAGAACCCACCGGAGGAGAGCTCACAGGACACATTCCTAACTTGTGTCCTCGGTTCCGATTCCTCCCCACTAGTTCTGTTCAAAAGAAAGCCGTGGCCCTCCGTTTCTAAGTCGCCCGTCCGCTTTCCTCCCCCACCCTCACCTCCACCCCCAGCGGTGGGAAGACCACAGTTGAATCTTAACGGGACCTGCGAGGCGACTCCTGCCCGAAAGCGCGGAGTAGGTCCCCGCGGGCCGGGGGGAGCGGTGCGCGGTGCGCGGTGCGCGCGCTCGGTGCGGGGTGACCCCAGTGGGTCGAACCAGTCGCGCACCGCCAGATGCATGTTTCGGGAGCAAGCATTGTCTGTCGTGCGGCGGGTGCAGCGAGTCCCGTCCCGGCTTGGATTTCCCGGCGCGTGGCTTTCCAGGACCCAGGGCCCGTCTGCGCATCTCATCCCCGCCCGGCCCCGCCCCGCCCCGCCCGCATCCCGCCAACCTCACCCGACCGTACGCTATTTGGGGAGGGAACCGTGGTGGTCAGTAGGGGCAGGGCCCCTGCACCTCAAACACCCCCAAAAACAAAACAAGCGCAACTTGCCATGGCGAAGAGGAAGGCGCCTTCGCTGCGGAGGACCGGGTGGGCAGGTTTTGCTTTCGTTTCTCGTTTCCTGCTTCCCCGGGAGACGGAGCCAGGAGAGGGGGGCGGCCCCTCCGCGCCTGGCCTCGATCCCTCCGCGCCTGGCCTCGGTGGGAGCCCCGGCTTAGCACAGTTTAGGACGGCTGCTGTCGGCGCCGATCCACACACCCCAGGGTAGTTTTGCAACTTTTGAAAGCACGTTGGTAAAAGGCCGGAAGATTCCCCAGCGTAAATTTGGGGATTCTCCTCTTCTAGACTAAGGAGCTTCTATTAAATTAAATCTCCCATCCACTACATTTTAACCCCAAAGGTCAGGACCTATATTGTGCTTTCAAGCCTCCCCCAGCAACTAGCGAAATTCCTGATGAGCCACTGTGTTCACCTCGCTCTGCATTCCAGCGTCTTCAATCTCTTTTGTTGTTGTTTTTGTTGTTCTTGTTGTTGTTGTAAATGTGATGTACAGAGGGGTTAGAGTTCCGTAAGTCAGGAATTGAGTATGTTTCTTTTGAACAGTCACCTTTTCCCTCATTTGCTCCGTTTTCCCCTCCCAACCCCCTTCCCCTCCCTCCAAGTTGTACCGTTCATTTTCAACATAGGGTGTAGTGACACTTACTGCTAAATTGGTTCGCCCTTTGTCCCACCATTTCCATGCTTCCCCTTCCCCTCTCTAAATCAGATAAACTTGTACATACAAGACAAAAGGTACTGAAATCAAAAACAAGGACAAAAGGGGAAAGCAGAGGGGGATAAAAACACAAAAAGTAAAATAAAAAACATTTGTGTCCATTTCTTGGTGTTCATTTTGTTGAATTAGTTCCAACCAAAGTGTCGGAAAAACACTTTTTTAAAAATGATGTCCTGTTTCTTTGTTTTGGCCTGGTACTGGTGATTCATGTCTGTAATCCCAGCTGAGATCTGAGGATCATGATTCAAAGCCAGCCCAGGTAAAAAAAAAAAGTTCATGTGACACTTACCTCCAATTAACCACCAAAAAGCCATAAACAGAACTATGGCTCAACTAGTAGAGAGCCAAACTTAAGCACAGAAGATTAGAAACAGTGAGCTCCCAGGCCCAGAGTTCAAGGCGCACGACCAGCACGCACACACACACACACACACACACACACACCTTTATAAATTTTTATTACCATAAATTATACAGAAAACTTTTGTTTGATATTTACATCATGCATATAATATACACTGATAAAGCTCACATGATTCTTTCTTAGCCCCTGTGTTTCCACTTTCCTTCTTTATTTTTAACACTTTTTAGCAAGTTTCCGTATACTATTTTTATGTATATAAGATCTAGTGAAAGAGAGGATACTTGGTGGACTCGCAGGAAGGACATTTGGCACTCCAACTGATGAGAATTGGAAGAAAAAAAGCATACCAGGCTCAGTTCTGAGGACTTAAGAGCTGTGCTATAATCTCAGCACTTAGAAATCTGGAGGATCATAAATGTGAGGTCAGCCTGGGCTATGTATCAAGATCTTACCGTTTAAACAGGGATATCTTACCGTTTAAACAGGGATATAGGCTGACCCATTGCAACAATGAGATGTACAAGATGCTATGTCGAAAAACGAACTTTACAATTGGGGGGGGGGGGATGGAATGTAGTTGTGGAGATGGGAGGGAAGGGATGGTAGGGGAAAAACAAAGGAGGCAACAATGCTTGTTAAGAAATGTACTCATGCCGGGCGCTGGTGGCTCATGCCTGTAATCCTAGCTACTCAGGAGGCTGAGATCTGAAGATCGCGGTTCAAAGCCAGCCCGGGCAGGAGAGACCGTGAGACTCCT